CAGGTACAAAATTTGCTGTAACTCCAAAGTCCTAAAACCAGGACTGATGAAGGTAGCAAAATCATACCGAGCTTTGGTCTTGATGGATCTTGCCATAGTTTGCCTCCTTTTAAAGGCATCTTCCTTGTCCTGCTCCCAAAGTCAGACATATAATCTTAGGTACTGGTTTACTGCAGATCATACACACAGTACCTACCCTAATACTGCCAATAGGAATTTTCAGGTATTTTCTCAGTAGCATTAACCTCCTGCCAGTCTTTCCATCTTTCGTAGAAGAACAATTTAATCTCACAGATATTAATTGCACGTTCTTTAAATTTAAGCCAAGCTGAACAGAATCCACTGCTGCATTTGCACTATTCAACCACACTGCAACAGGAGTAACAAAGAGAGAACAAGAAAGGTGTAGAGTTCTCAGGATCAAGACAGTCATTTCTGTACCACAGCTTTTAAGTCTTGCTGATTTTTTTTTGTCTTTTTTTGTTTTTTTTTCCCCTTTAAGAGAGTTTGGTTTTGTTATTTTTAATATACTCTTTTTAAACTTTAAGCATGAAACTCAAGGTAAAACTCTGCTTTGATTTAATTTTTCTACAGGTGGGAAAAAACATTTTTTTTTAAAGAAGCATCTGGGTTTGTGCTCCTTTTTCTAGTGCTCTAGGTTGATCCCAGTTCAGTATTTAGTGTATCCACGTCTTTTCGGTCAATGATAAAACCCAAACCTTTCTTGTTCCACACAATATCCTATATTCCTAAATATTCCTAAAGACAACACCGTGAGATAGACTTGTTGCTGAATCTCTCCTAGGATCCCCCAAGCCACCTAAGGAGCAATTCCAAATGAATGTGTTGGCAAAAGAAAGGAGTGCAAGTCATACGAGCCAGAGGTGGCAATCAGCAACACATAAGCTGTAAGGTGAGACCAGACTATCTGCATTTCAGAAGCCCACCCATCTCCCAGATATCTGGGATGTGTAATTCCTTAAATATTTATGACATGAAAATACCCACACAGGCTGGAAAGCAGGCGGTTCTTTACCTAAATCCACAACACAACTTATATAGATGTGTGTCACATATCCAAATATACACTTACCTCAGAAGTATAAATACATTTCAGAAGCCCACCCATCTCCCAGATATCTGGGATGTGTAATTCCTTAAATATTTATGGCATGGAAATACCCACACAGGCTGGATAGCAGGCGGTTCTTTACCTAAATCCACAACACAACTTATATAGATGTGCGTCACGTATACAAATATACACTTACTTCAGGAGTATAAATAGCATGGCAAAGGCTTTTTAAAAAAAAATCCCCACGGCTTACTTAAACATAAATGCATCATTGACTGACAAAGGGAAACACTTGTCTAACTCAAGTGGTGAGTTTTGCAAATGCAAATTTGCACTCTGTGATGTCCATGGTTGGAGGGAGAGAGGTTTCACTCTGTGTCCTGGACCTGTAGTACTCAAACCAATAAAGTGTGTCCAAACCAACACTTTGCAAGGTAGCACATACCCAGCAAAGATGTCACCAGGAGCCATCAGCATTCGCCTGCTGACATCTAGTGTCAGTAACAGGCATTGGGGCCTTAACTGCAAAATGTTTGTCCCCAGACTCCCCCTGGCCGCCTGCTTCTCAGTGAATTTTGAACACAGTTATTAATGTTTTCACAGTTTGGATCAATTTGATTATATTTTATCCCATTATTCTTCTTGCAACAACCAGCCCGCTCTTTCTTTTTTAGTAGGACTATGTTTTTTTTTTTCTTTAATAATAATAAGAAGAAGAAATCAGTTATCCGGACTATGTCCAGATTAAAAAAAATATATCAGCCCTTTCAGCCTCTCAGGTTTTCCTTTCTGAGCACTTGATTTTCCTCTCTTACTCCCCAATTTTTCTTTATATTCCTCATGGATGAGGAAGAAAGTGTTCAAAATGACAAAAACAAATGCAGGTCTGCAGTCCAAACCCTTGCTTAAAGCAATGCTGAATATAATGCTGGATTGGTTTCTCAACAACTTATCTAGTTACCTTTGGAATATTTCCAAGGATGGAGATCCCACACTTCCTTGGGCAAAATCCTGGCCTTTTTCCATGCCAGGCACTCTCACATCCTCATCCTTCCAAGCTCATGAAGGAGAGGCCATAGATCTTTGGGCGCCTGGACGTCTACAGAATTGTAAGGATTTTGTCAGTTCTCAGGATGCTTCCTACGCTTCAGAACTAAGCAGGGACTAAAGCATTCCCTACCAAATGTTGCCATGCCACAGCAGGCCCCAAGGCTCCGAAAACAGCATTTGGGGAAAGGCATATTTCTCTGGGTGAGATTTAAGATTAAATCCTGCCTTTTGCAGATTTGAGGAGTCTAATGGTATGTTGACAGTATGGGAAGGACAAAATATATCTGTGCTACGTATCCGTGCTACACAATTCACAGTAAATTCCTTCTTCCAACATCAGAGCAGGGTTATATCTCTTTCTCAGGCTGCTGGAGAGCATGACAGTGCTCTCTGCCATTCTGGCTGTCACCCATTGAAGATGATGCTCTGGCTGTGGAATGTTCCCATATTCTCTAGGGAATCCAGATCCATATTTCCACCTTCCCAACGGTATGAACTGGTCACGCTAAATCATTCATTCACCTTCCCCTCCAAACCCCCTTTGCCAAAGAAGCATCTCATCTCACAGCCCAACACAAAATGCATGGGACCACAGAATAAGGACATTTAAGAGCGCTTAACACTCTAGACCAGCAACAATGACAGAGGAACCTGGTTTCCCAACTTCAGTCTTACAACCTTGAAGAACAAAACATGGATACATATGAGATTAAAAGCTCCAGACACAGGCACACCGTAGAGCTAGCCCAAAACTCATGGATGCAGTTGCAAAAATTTCCCATAATGATAACGGACTTTGGGTTGAGCTCAAGAACCCTGGGTCAATGCTAAACTGCCCACTCTCCCTACCGCAGTGAATTTTAGGACAACTAGTGATGCTTTTCCTCTGTTTCCCTGGAATGGGATACAACAGAGCCCCTCGTATTTGGTTTATGACAGGTTTTTAGGGTGCCTTTTTTTCTTTTCTTTATACAAAACCAGGTTTTGTGTCTTAACCAACCGTTCAAGCGTGGGGCGAGGCAGCTCAAGGCAGTTGTTGTCATGTTGCCCAGAATTTCACAAGGGGTGCCACAGATGGTGACCAAAGTGTGTCCCGGGGAAAACCCCATTCCACGCAGGTGAACTGCTTCTCCGTTCAAGCCACCTTGGAAAAAGGAACAGAAAAGGGGATTGAAGACACAGCCCAGTGGCTAGCTACCAACAGGAACATGCCTGTTAGAGCTGAGGAGGGTATTAATTTGGATATTACAGGTGGGTCTGAGTACACTCATCATATATTCAGCATCTGTATGAATTCCAGTTCTGATTTTGCTAACTTATGCAGTACAAATATATCACAGTCTTCGTTCTTCTGTATTCAGCCAGCTTTAATAAGTGACCACCCAAAAAACTAAACCCACTGCATAGTCATTATCTACATTTCAACTAAAGGACCTCCTCCATGAGGAGGAAGGAATTCAAGTGATCGATGGTCTGCATATTTAAAAAAATAATCAGGGATGTTGGATAAGCAGCTCACAGACCACTAGCTACAAAACCCAGCAAAGATTTCCTCGCGTAAAAGACCTACCTCAATATCTCTAACAACATGAGGGATTCTTAACACAATTTTCTTTCCACATGAGCTACCCACAGTTGCAGCAGTCCACCACATTGCAGAGCACTGTGGAGGAGCTGCAGCAGCCCGTCGTGACTTACCCCAGTTGTGATGCACAGATGTCACCGACAGCTGAGAGGTGAATGTCAAGTTAGAGGAAGCCCATCCCCTGAGGACATCGAGGCCCAGCACGTGGTACTTGCCAGCAGGTAGAGGAGGAGCTGAGCACTGCAACGTAGATTGAGTTATGGTGACACCACTACAAGCAAAGCCCCCAACAAATACGTGGATGCCGTCCGTTCCTATGACTCGTGATACGGTCATCATTAAAAGTAGGCCAACAGGCATGAGGGAAAGGAAAGCTGGGGTGAACTCCTCACTATAAGTTATTCTTCCAAGATAAGTGTTAATGTCATCTACTTTTAGCCTCAAAGCACTAGTCCCATTGCCAGGAGGCACTATGCACTGTATAGCTGTGCAGTTGACACTGAGAATGAGACAAGGATGATGATCAACAAGAACAGAAGTCGTCCTGCCTTTCATTGCTGAGCCTGCTAAGGTGAGCAGGCCTCCACCATTGGTACTGAAGTTTTCGGGGTAAAACTGGTGCACTTGAGGCATGACAGTGAAATCCTCAGCTGCTCTTCTGAAGCATGCTTGTCCACTTCTCCCATTGGATACGGAAATGTTGTACTTCCCAGGGGCAATGCAGTCCATCTGGCACTTGATGTTGGTCTCGTTCCAGAAAGTTACCTTGCAGACAACTTGGTTGTTCACGTGTACCACCGGGCTGTCACTTTGCCATGCTAGTTGCTGTCCTTTGATCATCAGGTAGGTGAATGCCCCACTATTTTCCCAGGTCACCAAATCTATAAGGGGTGTCCTCTGCTCATGTAGGTGAAGTGTACAGTCACCAAGGCAGACACTGCCAATGCCATTTACAGTCACTGTGACATTAAGAGCCCGGGATGCCTCAGTCAACCTCTCATAAGGTAAAGGATGGGCTCCTGGGAGAAGAAAACATCTAATGACATTATCACCAGAGTTCTGGATCTCACAGGAATAGTTACCTCCCAGGCTCACCTGTACCAAATTCCTCCTGGATTTTAAGGCAGTTCCAGATATAACCAATACCATCCCACCACAAATTGAACCTTGCTTTGGGAAGATGGAGGTTATCTGTGGAGTTATTGTAACAGACTGTAGCCTTCCTGCCACATGAGCATATCCCAACTGCCTCTGGATAACCCTGATGGGGTAAGTCCCAGGTTCCAGGTTGGTCAGCGGTAAGGAGCACTGGGAAAGTATTGCAGAATTGTTGCCATGTTGAGACTCAAGCGCACATTCACTGTCCCCAAGTTTAGCCACAGATTCAGTGATGTTTATCCCCTGAATGCTCAAGAATAGGCTGCTGCCTGTGACCTCCATTCCAAAAGTAGTGATCAGAGGAGTCGAAATCCTTTGATAATTAAAGACAGTGGTGTTCTTCTCAAAAGAAGTGTGTAGAAGTAACCTACTTCTGAGGAGCACATTTACACTAGCAGATATGTCTTGTGAATCATCATTAGACAAATTAGCAGCTGGTGGAGTCAGGCACCAAATGGTCTCTTCTGACAGGTGGGTAATCCTACAGGTTTGCTCATTCAAAGAAACAGAAACCAGGGCAGGGTTTTGGCTAAAACCCACCCCAGAGATTGTCAGCAGTGTTCCACCTAGGAGTAAAACAAACAAAAATGTCTGTGAGAAATCACAAACTGCCATAAATTGGCTAAACATGGCAGACACCCTCATTCCATCTAAACAAGAGAAATTCAGTCTGCTCTTTTCTTTTTTTTTCTTTTTTAACAAAATGGCTGGGGACATGGTAATGGAGATATCTGGAGAGATGGTAGAAAAAGCCATTTTCTAGTGTTCGTTCCTGCTGCATACAGCAAAGCCGCATCGGTGTTGTTATTTTCAAATTAAAAAGCCAGTGTCATAGACCTTTTTTCAATCTTGAGTTCTACCTGGACACTCAGACTGAAATACTTGTGAAGCAACCAGCTCACCTTTATCTCCAGCACAGTGAGTCATTCTGAGGTTACCAGCACCAACTTCAGATTTTCCACCTGTCCATGTTGATTCATCCATGAGAGGGAGTTCCCTGACTGGAGAAACTCTAGTGTTGCTGAATGATCCCAGCTTTAAGCCCTCTCCTACCTACAGGCTCAGCGTGTATCTCACAAGAAATGGGAAGAGAACAGCAGGTTCCTTACCACTGTCAAGGGCAATTCTCACCATGGCTTCCCATGCAAGGGCTGGAAGGCAGCAGGCTATCTGCTTTCCCCTAAGGTAGCCTGGGTTTTTTCCTTCCATGTGCACTTATGACCATGGCAGAAGACAGCAAATGGGTAAACAGAACATTGAAGTACAGATCTAAACAGATCTTGAAGCAGGATCATTCATAGGAAACCGAAGAGAGGGACACAAAGTTGTGACCTCTGTCTGGCACTGTCCTTATGTCTAATATTCCAAGTTGTAGAGATGAATGATCATACACTGCTCCACTCATATAATCTCCCCAATGCATCCTGTATTTGGGACACTTCAGGAGACAGGTTACCTTTGGTCTGATCATGAGCAATTGATATAGGATATGCTCTGGAGGGATTCATCTCTCCACTTTCACAGCAGAAGAAGCCTTCAGACACTCTGCTACCAGTCTGGGCACTATAAGTAGATACTAGTTAGCTGGGATAAGCATGAATCCTGAACTCTGGTTTTACCTGACTCAAGGCAACAGCATCCATTCCACCTATGCTATTGAGCACTATCATTGAAGGGAGAGTTCCAGGTTTTCGGGAGTATTAATGATAAAGATAAAAATCTTTTAACATTCTCAACTTAATTGCAAATGTCCAAGCACAATCTGCCTCAGCTGCCTCACTTAAAACCACCTAAAGCATCTCTACATCTTCTTCAGTTTGAACACAGACTCTGTATCCACAACTTAATTGCAAATGTCCAAGCACAAGCTGCCTCAGCTGCCTCACTTAAAACTACCTAACGCATCTCTACATCTTCTTCAGTTTGAGCACAGACTCTGTATCCCCTAAGCTAACAAATGCTAGAAAGGTTTTGTCAATATTACATCTGCTGGAAGATCCAACTTTCTTTTTCCTGTGATCTGGATGGCAATTGTTTTATAGACAGGTTCATTTTCAGTGAGCTCAAGTCCCTAATCCATGTGGCCATGCAAGTGTTAGAGACAACAAAAGATGAGGGATAAGGGATGGGAGAACGACTACTGCCTTTTGTAGCCATGAGAACCTAAATCAGCTTAAGCCATTCATAAAACTACAGTCAATGAGTTAATCAGTTGTTATTTAACCTTCAATTGACCCCTAAAGATAAAAGAACCATGTAGCATTTTTCTTTATATAGCTTAATCTTCAAACCTGATAGCCTTTGCTCTTTAAGCTCCATGTTCTCATCTTTCAAGGCTTGGGCACTTTACAAACTACGGAACTAATCATGTACCATAAAGCCTCGGAATTTTTGCGTCTTTAAAAGTGTCATGAGCCTGGGAGAGGAATCCCAGGCAAGACCTGAGATTACATCACAAGAATTTCTCTCCCCTGTATGTAAACTTTTCAAAGGATTCATATAAAATTCACTAAATGAATTCAGCTCTTCTCCATTCCCAGCCAAATGTTATGCTGCAAAAAGACAAAATAAAAGAACCCCCATCTGTATTTTGTCTTTTGAAATGAACAAGCTTTTGTTTTTAATTCAGTGATGTTTTGCTTGAGCACAATTGAATGGTTTCAAATGCTTAAAAAAAAACTTGCAAAAAGGATTAGTAAATATTTTAATTTGGATTCAAGTTGACACCAAGAAAGATTTTTGTCTTTTCATGTCAATAAATGCTCCCCATGGGATTACCTGGAATGAGTGTTTACTTCAAATTATGTCCATACCTCTCTACTCTCCTGGCTTTGATACAAAAAGCTTTTAAAAATGGAGGCGTAATGATAGATACTGCACAGATGAGTCAGGTGTGGGTGTGTGTTGTTTCTCCAGTGGGAACATGCAAGGATAGAGGAGAAAGCATTTGGAGAAATCACATGGAAAGCATAGGGGCCCCCAAGACAGACCAGATTGAGGGATGCTCACTGCAATCCCACATTTCCAGGCTGCGGCTGCCTGCCAGTGGGAGCCTGCCCAGTAAAAGGTCATGGATTTTTTTTTTAAACACATCCCTGTTGTTGTTAAAACAATATGAAACAGGATGCTCCCTCCAGTCCTGCAGGGAAGTCATATCCTTGATCCCTTTAACCTCCTTAAGTGGCTGCAGATGTAATGGTGTTATTTACCCAGTAAAGAGCCACAGCATGGCTCAATGCTGAAGATCTCTGAGGCATACTGGATCAATGGCTCAGTCCTACAAAACACAAGCAAAATAAGAAGTTTTGGTTTTTACTCACTTTATTTTGTTTTACCCCCATAATACTACAATGACATGACTTCATGCCTTAAACTCCTTCCATGTGATTAAAGCCATAACTTTTAGGACCACCATTGACCCACCGAGTGGCAGTCTGTGGACCCAATCCAGTCCATCAGGCACAATGGAAAAGCCAATCGAAAGAGGCCAAAATTAGGGGGCTTCCCCAAAACAGACACTGCAGCAGTGTGCATATACAGAAGATAAGAGCTATCCTTTCCCTCTTTTTTCCTCTAATGGAAATATGTAGACAGCAGGCATAGATGCACCCACATAATGCAAGAGGAATCTGGGGCATGACCTCTGAAGGCCACTCAGAGACATGGCTCTGCTTCTATCTCACCTACATCCACATTCTTTCCTCACCAGCCTCTTCTCAAAAAAACAACAGTAAAATAAAAAAACTTGACAAAAATAAAGAACAAAACCAAACAAGCAGACATAATAGAGAAACAGAATTCCCTGATTATACAATTCAGTTCACCAGAGGAGTTGTCTTCAGGCCTGATCCACCAGCTCATCTCCCTCCACTCACTACAAAGGAAACAAAGTGCCAGTGATGCTAACAGACTGCAACATCAGATGGGATGAATCCATGTGCATCATCTCACTGACCATAGGCTTTTTCCTCGTGACATTCATTAACGCAACAAGCTGTTTAGGGCTGTTTGTGGGCAACACAAGCAGTTCCCTTCTCTGCGTGGTTGAGGAGTAAAATTATGTTGCTTGGGAATGAACTATTGTGTCCCACTTTCAGATGGGTTTTCTCCTGCCTATTAGTTCATTTGTATTACATTTGTCTCGACATGAAATGTCATGTGAAAAAGATGGAAATAGCACCATTCAAAAATTCTCAAAACAATTTTTTTTTCAAACTATCCTTTTTTTTTTCCTCATTAAAAGTGTTTCTTCTTTTGTTTTCCTATGGCAGGATTTATCTGTATTTGACCTGAATTTGTGAATAGCTTTGATTGCCTGAATATGCATTTTTCATCAAATCAACTATTTTTTTTAATGTTCCTCTCCTGCCCCCTCCTGATCCAAGAGGAGTTAATTGACTAGCATTAGCAGTTTGCTGACTTAGGCTTCACAGATCAATAAATGCTTTAATAATTATTCATAATTTCATACCATTCTGCAGATTTCACCATTAGGTACAGCACTTTTCAAAACTTTACCTTTCTTTTCAGATTAACCTTAAAATAGCAAATAGGACTGAGAATGAAATTTGTATATTAAGGAAAATACATTCACATACCGATTTGAAGTAGCAACAACAACACTGTTGATGATGACAGAAATGTTGTACCATCCTGGAGCCAAGGCTGGAAGTGTCACATTAACACCACGGTCTGTCTGTGCCTGAATCTGTCCCCACAAATGCCCCACTTGGACCTTGATGTCCAACCCTTGGTAGAGAGCAAATGAGGATATTCCAATCTGGAGTTCTTGACCCCCTGCAGAGAGAAGAATGGATACAGCAATTTCAATGTTTCCAGCAAGAGTTAATATAGTGCATGTGAATATTTCCCAAGAAAGACCATGGAGTCCCAGAACTAATCCAGTCATATTAGCCAGAGAAAAATAATAAAAAACAAATAATAATAAAAAAAAGGTAGAACACCACAATGGTTCTGTACTCTTCTTGCCCTTTGGCTTCACCAACAAGGTGGAAAAACACCTTTTTAAAATGTATTTTTATAGATGTTAGCCCTGGGAACTTGACAATAACCCTATAAAGTTGCTCACAGCCTACCGATGGATGCTCAGGACTGAATCAACATCCCCTGAACGTAGATGTCTAGCCTGTACATATCTACAGCTGATTAAAGCTGAATCCAGTCTTTCTAAAGCTAAAGAGACATTCTGGAATTCTTGTTAAATCCCTAGCAATGATGCAGGCATTTCTGCACAGCCTCACCACACAGGCATCTAAACTTAACAGGAACCTCCATGGCTGGTATGAATGTTTCCTGGGGTACCTAAGGTCAGATGGCTATATACACTTCAAAACACCTTTTTGTCCTGAAAGCACATTGTCTCTTATGTCTATCTCTTATTTAAGCTCTGTAATGAATGATACTCAGATAAATACTATTTTCTCCTATTTGTGCATCCTGGAGTAATAGAAAAGGATAAGGGCAACAGGGAATGGAATCCCATAACCTAAATTCCTCCTGAAATAGCCTTAAAAATTAGCGTGTTATGCATCAGCCCAAACGCAGGCATTTGCAGTGAGGTGGCTATTGAGAAAGAAGAGAATAAAGAATTCAGTGAACAGAAAATGGGCTTCTGTGGCATTATTTATCTTACAGCAAAGGCAGCATTCAAAAGTGCTCATATTAATCTGACTGCAGAACTGCCAATTACCCTTCACAGACTACACATCTAAGCTACTTGCACAGCTAGAGGTGTGCTTAACACATTGAAGTTTTCTTAATCAAAGTGAGCTTTTATGAGTTAAGTGGTCCTTCCTGGAGGTTCAGATGTGACTAGCAGTTTTTCCCATCCTGGCTTTAACTCAGCCTGTGTAGCAGGTTTAACACGAGTTAACATTCAGCACTGCAGCTTCACCTTCAAGGGAAGGCTCTCCCTCACCAGAAGCAGGAGAGGCCGTGCAAGGATCCTCTCATCTACCAGCTCCTCTAAGCAGATCTGGAAGCCAGTGCTTTCCAATCCTGCATGCACAAGGAGTCAATGTTTGAAAGTTTGAAAGCCTAGGAAGTTGAATATATTAATAGTGTGAACTCTTTGGACTCTTGGTCAATTGTCAGCTTAAGCCTAGATGCCTGGGAGGCATTGGGGTAATTTATTTATTCTTTTTATTATATAGGAGGAAAATTATATTAAAAGCCAAAGCCACGGAGGTTCTGAATAGAAGATTGAACTCAGTTCTGCACCACCATTCACAAGACACTATATAACATTAAGGAATTCCATGCATCTGGGCTGCCCGCGGCTAGAAAAACCTCCCCTTGGTGCTATCGTATCTGAATAATATTCAGATGATAAAGGACGTTTTCTCTTATTTATGCATTCTGGAGAAATAGAAAACGACAAGGGCATCGGGGAACAGAATAGAAACATGGAGTGTGCAACAAGGAGCGTGTCTCGTCACAGACACTGTCACCTCACCACTGTCATTGCCACTAAATTTGGCCAGGTTGCTGAGCTGAAGAAAGCTTTATTAAGGTGTGCACTGGAGAGGCTGGAAGAAAAGAAGGGAAAAAAATACTCTTTCCTTAGAGGAATGTGGGGCAGGATGCAAGGGAGAGAAGGAATATTCCTGTCTCCTTCCCAGTTTATGCCTCTATTTGTCTTTCCAAAACATTGTCCCTGGAGCACCAAGAGGAGACCAAAATAACTAAATAGAGTCTGGGTTGCTCAGCCTCAGAGAGGCTGAGAGTATCACAGTCAAATCTCCTTAAAGCAGAGTCAAGCTCACCTCAGCCAGGCTGAAGGAACTACACCCAAACTGTAACCCATTCGCCCTAGAGTATTGAGAATGACCTTGAGTAGGAAACATGCAGAAAAGATGGCAATTTGTGTCATAGGATTCCACATACCCAGCCCTACTTTGGGCTAAGAAATGCAAGATACGAAATATATTGTCCCAACTCTGAGATATGATTGGGATGCTGCCACCAGACCACAAAGTCTGTGCTCATATTCTAAAGTTATGGATCACAAGGTCAAATCAATAGAAACAGTTTTGCTTGGAAACAGAAACTAGAAAGACAAGTGCTCCATGTTTTCTGCTCTCAGCTGCCCAAAATGCACTTAAGGCACTCTTGCTTTGGCCCACCTTTTAGGATCCTAGGGAATTACACTCTCAAAAGTTAATTTCTCTTTTCACTGATGAAAATGCCAACTAAAATGGGTGTGATAGAGGAATCTCAGAGCAGAGCTAGAGAAACAGGAGACAGAGGAGCAGCATCCTAACTTCGTATATCTATCCACACAGGAATGGGGTCAGCACCTCATCATCTCATGTTAGGTAGGGAAAATTAAAATTAAAATAAAGCAAACTGGGCTGAAAAGAACCAAAAAGGAGGCTATAGCTTAAAAAAAAAATCTGTAATGCACTAGCAGATCCCGTAGACTCAAGTCTTTCTGCCCCACCATTCTCAGCAGTCACGAGAGCTTTTGTACAGATGATGTCCAGTCACATCCATTTGCTTTTAAGGAGCCTTCCATCTCTTCACCTGTTATGCCACTTCTGTTTCTGCTCAGTGATACAACCACAGGATTTAAGGAAGGATCATATTGGAATAAATTGGTGAATGTTGTTGACAAGTGCCCAGAAACCAGTGTCACAGGGACAACAGCATCCTCTATCCCCTGGAAACAAAAAATGAAGAAAATGTCAGGGATAAGAGTGCAGCAATAAAAAATATTTCTTTCTCTGTATGTGTATGCCTCCATACCTAATATGTCAGGCAATTAAAATCCCTAATTTCCTACCTAGAGGACTTTTTGTTGGTTTCATCACAGAAAAAGGACGGGCACTGATCAATTTGTGCATACAAATACTGGACTCAAATCACTATAGACATTCTGTACTTTAAGGAACATCTGTGAAGAGTTATAAACTTTAAAACAATCTCAGACTATGTAGATTCTCCTTTGGCATTTTCCTATTAATAAATTAAACAGTAGCAGGAAACAGGCATAAACAGTTGTTTCTGATCTTAAATTACGCATGACCCTGAGTGTAATTTTCATCTGTGTCAATTAACACCGCTAGCAATTCCTAGGCATGCTTCAAGAGTTTGCTTGAGACACAGATAATTCCCAGTAGAAAGACTGGGTGTAAACAGGAAGATTTGCAGCTGAAGAGGTTTCCATAATACAAGTAAGAGCAATTTGATGAGGAATGTACTGGCAAACATTGAGCCAAAAGTGCAACTTTTCCTGAAGTTAAAGGCCCAGGTTTGGTTTGTTAGAGGCTCACCTCATCAGCATATTAATTTTTATTCTTGCAGTTACACTAGGTTTCATAAATCAACCCAGCACTAATTAACTGGTGTAAGTTGTAGGTGGGGCCCAAATAAAAGCAGACAACCAAGATTTAACTGATGGACAATCATTTTTCTTTTCCCTCAGCATAGCTCAGGATAGCACAATATAAAGGTCTGTAGGCTCTCGTCATAGAGCTGACTGTACCCAAAAATATGTGGTTTCTTACCCGAGAAGGAACCTGACATTCAATTCTTGTTGCATTTCTGGCATTTGCAGAAATTGGGCAAGGCTGAGATCCAAACAGCACCAGGTTTACTCCTTCCAGACCAGTCCCTCTGAGAGCCACTCTCAGTCCTCCTACAAAACCAGTTATGCATTTACACTCAAGATATGGAAAGATATTTTAATACACAAACCATCCTTTATGCTTTTTAAATGGGTGATTACAAAAAGGCATACTATCTACTGGTTAAAACACAGGCATACTAAGATTATATTAGTTCATAAACATCAATAATGATCTGCTTCCATTTCACTGTACTCCAGATTACTCTGTTTTGCTAGGGATATTTTTCATTACTTGAATTCTTGTCCATCACACAACTCTAGTGTTTGGTTTTGAGTTTATTTTTTAATGACATACATATTTAAGATTGCAAGGTCTGGTCTGTGATCTCACCCTTCGAAAGATCTCCAACCTGTGAATAAAATAAGGAAAGAAGAAGCAGCGCCAAGAATGGAAAATGAGCTTAACACAGCAGGTGCTTTCACAGTTCAAATAGCTGCCATGCACCCTGCTGTCAAAAAACCCTGTAGCATGTGTCCAGGAAGCTTAGGTTAGAAAGGGGACTTGGCAGGGCTGGAGAATTTGCAGACTTGTGAGGAAGAAAGTCACAGAGGGCTGGACTCTGAAGCTTTGAGCAACCCCAGCTCTTATTTGTGCCAGCCAGAGCTGAGTGTCTGTGATCATGTTCAGGATCACACTCAGCTAAGTCAGACCGACCACGTGTTTGGACTTTCTGCAGCATACAATTCCTGTCTGAATAGCCCAGATGACCTCTCTGCTTTTTGCAAATGACCAAAGGATTCAGTGGCATGTCAAAGAGAAACACAAGAGAGAAAAGAAAGGAGCATTTGCAGAAATTCTAGGATTTGCTCTTTGACATGGCTCAGAGACAAAATTGATAAACATCAAAACAAACAAATAAAACCCACTCCCTTAAAGCCTGCATCTCTGCTGTAGCTGGGATGCCAAGGCTTCAGCAGCACAGCCCTGCAAGGCCTTAGGACTGTTGTTGGACAAACAGGCTGCTCAAGAGGGATTTTATTACATGAGTGTGCGTGTGCTATCACGGTTGCATTACAGCACATCTGAATTTTTTCATGCTTTGCACATGTAGAATTTAAATCCCTTTAAAAGAAGAGGTGCTGCTCTTGGGGTAAAATGTTCAAGAATAGAATTCAGGAAGATGGGTTTAAATCCAACTCTGAATGCTCCCCTGGGAATGTGAAACTGAGTCCCAATCGTTAGACCTGAATATATTAGAACATGCATTTACTGCCTTCTTGGCCACTCTGGTCTCTTGACCAGACAGACCTGATGCCATGAAGTGCAAGATGCTCCTTACTCTTTAAGGAGTTTTCAGAGCCAGAAGCAACATAAATTTAAAACTAAAGCTGCTTCTGTGGTGGTAGTTTGATAAGTCTCACATTTAGAGTATGAAATCTGTGTGTGTTGTGTAAAGACTACAGATCTTAAAGTTTTGATATCTACACTTATATCCATATGTGATAAAATACTGCATATGCACACTTTACGATAAGATTGAAGAGAGGTATTTTAAATGGAAGAAATTAAAAACACAGATGGAAGCTGTAATTCTTTCCAATTATAATTGTTCAAGGCATATGTAATGTAAGATAGCATTATACTTTCTTTCTCTTTAATGAGTGACAGATCACTGTAATTGGTGTAAGGGCTGGATTGTCAAGGAAGGAAATGAGAAGCAAAACCCAAACACTAAAATTGGTCTTTTCTTTTAGGATTTTTTTTTAAATTAGAGCAGTGGATCTCAACCTCATTTACCTTTGTTTTTTCTCCCTTTAGAAAAACAAAAAGAAGAGAGTCCTACTATAAACCTCAACAACTTGTAAAGAAAAGGAGTGACTAACTTCTTGTTTCAGCTTAATTCTTCCAAGAACATCCCAGGACTCAACTATCACAGACCATTTTCTTTCTTTTCACTCCAAGCTGACCAAATATGAACCAGTTCATAGAAGCCTGCGCCAAGGCAAAAACTCTTGTTAACTTGCTTGTTAACATGGACTCAGAGCACCTTACTATTAAAATCAGGAGGTTTCCAGTCAAAAACTGGATAATCTTCTTCAGTGAACTGGGAAAACTCTCACCATGTCACCCAGTTAGAAGCTTGACTCAGTACCTTTGGGATACAAAGTGCCAAGACACCTTTTCTCAGATGGAGACTTAATAGTGAAAAGACAGTAGAACTGAACCATGCTATGAAAACCAAGACAAAAAAGACACCCACTTAAGAGTCAGCCTGACATTCAGACCTACCGATTTCTGAAGCTGTAGGAGGTTCAATAGCCACCAGCTTGGGCTCAACTCTTAAAAAGATGCCTTCTCCTGTGCTGGTGTTAAGTGCAAAGCCATAAGGTCTCACCAGTAACGTCACCTGGTAGACTCCAACTGGCAGCCTCTCCATTTGGCAAACTAGTTTGGTTTCATTCAAAGTTATGACGTGGCATGCTGAGCTGTTCACCTCTACCTGGAGTGCTGGCTTCTCCCCAGTGAAGCCAGTTCCTCTGATAACTATTGTAGCCTGGGATCCATCATCTGAAAGAAGAGAAACAGCAAGATGACTAACGAATTTTGGAATAACATCACCGAGATTTCCTTTTAACCA